CTGTATTCATAAAAAATCTCAAGCTTTAAATATAATATAGGATAACAAAGGTCATGTCACGTATAAATAACTCTTAAAATGGATAAACTAAAAAAAATCTTATGCTTTCTTACTCTAACTAAAAAAACCCAAAACTTTGAATTATTAAAATTAAGTTAGAATATCCGCTGTTGCTCCTCAATATTATCCTTCTACAAAACACGAGGCGAGCATAAAGAATAAACAATTAAATTTTAATAATTACAATACATATATATATCTAAAAATGTTTATTGCAAATCTCCACGAAATACTGATACTGTAGATATGTGAAAGCGTGTAATTGCTGGTAAGTATTTAAATTACACCTCACAACAGTACCATCGGTATATAGTACGTGACAGCCGATAGCCAGCGGCGTTACAGACGTAATAAATACAGATAATAGTGTTTAATCGACGCGTATTGTCGGCGATGATGTGGAACCGACAAGAGGCTGCCAATGAATGACCAGCTAATAGTACGAGCCGAACAACAATTAACTATCGACATATAAAGGTAAGCGGTGCCGGGAGCTTTTCTTTGTCGATGAATTAAAATGTAACGATGACTGTATGGTATCAATCTCATCAGACAGAGCGGTTATTGAACATAATTTTGTACGTTTAGAAATAGACAAGTGAAAATAAATCTATATGGTGTGCTATAATTAAGAATTATAAAGAATTTATAGTAACATAACTGTAATGTAGATAAAAAAAAAAGGTGTAGTTATGTACAATATACTGAAAAGGCATCCAAATAGTGATAATTTAAAATTCCAAACAAAATAGTAATTACTACTAAATAAACTTGATATATTTTTCTAGAAAATATCTAGCTACAAAATCTGTATAAATAAATATTTAAGGACATAAGTTAAACTTACGGTACAAATAAGGACCCCATTTCTAGCAACTCGGAACTGCTTGAACACTTCCATTCTCTGCTCGTGGGGCATAGAGCCATGAAGACTGAACATCTCCAACTCTACTGGCACTAGGCCACCCTCAACCGGTTCTTCATAATCTATTTCAAACTCTGAACTTGACGATGACGATTTGTCCTAAACGAAAAAATAAGTTTGTATATAAATTTTAATTTTATAACGAAAAACAGTTAAAAGACTCTAAATCCCTTTAAGTAATTGTAATCAATGGTTTATAATGGTAAACTTTAATTTTGTAAACATTATGTGTTTTATTACCTCATCATTATCATTTTCAAGTTTTCTTTTCTTCATTATAGATTTTTTTGTTGAATTCTTTTTCTTGTTAACTTTAACATTTTTCCCACATAAAACTGTCTCTATTAATTCCGAATGATAGTCCACCATTTCTAAAGTTGCCATAAAAACAATCATTTTACCGCCCTTTTTATTCAAAACACAATGTTCCACAATAAGAGAACATAAAGTAACCAAACGTAGTTTCATTGGAACAATAAGGAATGTCTGATTTACAGTTGACGGCAGAATCAATTCATCTTCAACTATTGCTGTTTTTACAGCTTCTTCAAATGTATTACCAGTATTAGATGGTTTAACATCTTCTTCGTCGGATTCTACTTTTTTTGTTTTCTCTGCTAATTCTTTTTGGACTTTGAAATATTCGTAATCGGAATCACTATCGGATTCTTTATTAACATTTGATTGATTTATTACATTATTTAATATTTTCGAGTCACTAGTTTGGGTTTCATTATCATTTAAAAAATAAATCTGAGTAATTTAATCCAGAAAAGGCTTTCAAACCTGAAAAAATCTGCATTTAATATCTATAGAACAATTATTTAAGGATTTGCATTAAAATTAAAATATTACTATTAAATTTATTAAATTATTTAAATTAATTTTTATTACATACCTTTTTTAGTCTCTGGAACATTATCTTCAGGAATGATATTATGAACCTTATCATCTAGCACAGGCTTGTTTTTACACTTTAAATTATTTTCATTGCTTGTCACATTCATGTTTGTAATATTTACTTGATCTAACATACTATCATCACGCTGCAATTTAAGTGAGTCAGCAACAACTGCTCTTCCTTCAGATGTATCCACAAATACAGGATCCACCAATGTAATTCCAGCCAAATTTTCTACTGCCTATGAAAAAAATATTTATTATTAAGAATATATTATTTGTAATGACTTTAATAATATACGCTAAATTAATTTGTGAGTTTATACCTTAGTAAGTGTAGCTGATAACAAAATAGTCTGTCTCTGTTTTGATAGAAACACTTCTGTCAAATGATGTTTGATTTCGTTTTTTTCCTCTGGTTGTTTCTCTATTGTTTCCTCTGCATTGTCTTTAGTTAAATCTTTTTTTATATTTTGTTTTATAAGTGCCATAGGATCGTATGTAGCAGCTTTTTTATGATCTTCTATAGATTTTACTATAGCTGCTACATCTTTTTCATAACCCATGTCTAGTAATCTATCAGCTTCATCTAGTACTAAACAACTAGAATAAAATAAAAAAGTAACTACTATAGTAAATAATCTAATATTGATAGATAACTTAGACCTTACAATTTTAAATAAATAAAATTTAATGCATTGTCAATAAATTTACATTCTTGATTATAAATGAAAACTTGTCAAATAAGGATTAAATAATAATTAAAGCCACCAATATTTTGCAAGCATATTCACAACTATAAGCAACATATTAAAATAGAAACATCTTGTCAACAAAGTATATTTGCCTTTGTAGCAAAGCTTACAAATATTATGTTTGTTTTATTCTGCTTTATGTGAAAACTTGAAAACATTCTTTGTAATCATTTCAAGATTTAACTTACCCAGTTTTAGCAAAATTGAGAGATTTGGTGTGTCTCAAGTGATCATTTATCCGACCTGGTGTACCAACTAATATGCTCAGTCCTTTCCTAAGCCTCGCCTTCTCTGCTTTTCTTTTTTGTCCCCCACTTAATAAACCAGGAACTACCCAAGTAAATGGCTAAAATAGAAAATAATCCTTTTTCCACTTACTACTATATTGACAATTACTTTGACATCATAATGATAACTAAAAACCATAGTATTAAATGGTGTGTGACTCAAATTATTTAAATATAAATATCTTATTCTTTTGTATTGTTTAGCATTGTTATAAAAATAATTTCCTATATACAATATATTATTAGTAGCAATTAGAAACACTAACTTGTAGAAATAAAAAACTAATTCAGATTGTTACCTGTAACTCTCCAGATACCATTTTACCAATACTAGTTTTAGGAGTATAAGATAAAAAGTTTCAGCATAATGGCACAAATACAAAAGCAGAGTGATTTTAAGATAATTTCTAATGATGTCAACATCTATGAGTACTTTTGATTCATCCTTTGTCTTTATAGTATATATTACTAAAGTAATACATACATACATACATAGATATGTATGTATGTAGTAGCACGCCTGTCTCCCATTAGGGTAGGCAGAAACAATGGAATGCCAAATGCTTTGATTCAAACAAACCTCTTTCGCTTCTTCCACATTCATCAATCTTTTCATACATGCTCGCCGGTTACTTTTAATTACTAAAGTAATTTTCATCTTAATTCACCTACCAGCTTGACCATGATAACTCTAATTTCATAAATATCTATCGATATAAAATAAACATTTGATAACTGAAAATAAAAATACCTTGACCAATTTTAAGAACAGTTCATATGTCTGTACAGCCAATTCTCTGGTGGGTACAACAACAACCACCATTATGCCATCATGCCTGTTAATTTTTGGCCTTATCGCCTGCAACCCCTCAACAATAGGCAAGGCATATGCTAGTGTTTTTCCTGAGCCTGTTTGAGATCTGTACAAAATAATAATAGTAAAATTAAATTAAATATGTTTAAAATATTAGCAAATTCAATTTTTAACATAATTTAATAAAATAAACTGACAAACTTCTTAATACAGATTAATACTACTTCTTAAATAGTTAAATAAATAAATGATATTCTAATATGAAAATCATATACCAATATTTATTGTGTGGAAAAAATTTTGAGAAGCTGGGGTTTGCTTCTAGACCTTTATTGTAGGGTCAATACTCATTAGTTAATATTGTTGCTCTGCTATGAGCAGAGCAACAATATTAGCTAATGCTAGGAATTCTAAATTAAAAAAGTAATCCAATGAAATATATTTTTTTTTATAAATTTCTAAATAAAATTTTAAAATTATTTATTAATCATGAGTGTAAAATTGTTTAAAAAACTTATAGTTTTAAAAAATAATTTCTTTTTGTTCTTAATTTTTTTTTATATTTTGAAATGAAATACAATTATCTTATTATTTTAGAATTTTATTTAAAAACAAAACGTAAAAATTAAATGGTGATTAGATGTTATGTTTAGTTATTGAATGAATAAACTCTTTATTCTTCCCTTCAAAGCATGATATAGATTATCATTACATATACAAAAAATGAATAATTAATTACATAAAATCAAGGGAGCAAGAATGAGCGGCCTTATCACTAAATAGTGATTTCTTCTAGGGAACCTTATGGTTCTATTTAGATAATCCTTTTTCTTACCTCTTTTACAAAACCACCTTAATATATTACACACCTAAGTACTTTTACTCGTGTAAAAATATTTAAGTATGTAATATTTTACATAGAATAATTTTTTTTTATTTGATTATTAAGTTAATTAAAAGGTAAACAAGGTAGATAGTAACAATGAAGATTTAAAAGTAACCAAAGCTAATAAGGATAATTAACAAAATATTTTAATAATGTTGCACCCTATGAAAAAATGTTGTTGTATTATAAAACATATTTTCAATCCGACTTTTAATAAAAATTTTATGTACAAACTAAGAGGTACATAATAGTATTACTGTATTACATTTTTGTACAAAAATCTTAATCAATGAAACATACCTAATTAAAATATCTCGACCCTGCAATATAATAGGTATGGCATTTTGTTGAACAGTCATCAACTCTTTCAGGCCTAAATTTTGTTGTAAATTTGCCACACTGTGAGGATGTATATCTAAATCTGTAAATGTTGTACCAGCAAACACTTTCTCTGTTAAAGGTTTTACAGCTCTCTGTCCGATACGTGGAACATCTGGATTATTTTTAAACAAAGATGAGATCCAACCACCACTTCTAGGTTTTTGTTTTAGTTGCAAATCATCATTTATTTCTTGATAGTTTTTTCCTTGATATTTCCCTTTATTTTCACTGAGATCACGCAAATTTGTAGATAGATCAACATTAGTGTTTGGTTTTGGTACCTTCTTTTGTGCCTCGCCTTCCAACTTTTTAATAGTTTGGCTCAAATTTTGTGGCCTTTTTCTAGCTATGGTTTTACCAATAAACTTAGGTTTAGACATAAACTTGTATTCCGGAGCATTTTTATTATCTACACCAACTTTCTTCTTAACCTAATAAAATATTAAACCATTTAGTGAAATGCGGTTATAAATATTGTTACATCACAAGAATAATTATCACTCACTTTTTTTATAGCAGAAATATTCAATTGTAGATCTTCCATTTTACAAATCCTTGGATATTATAATCATTTATAGGTTACAATTAAACGCACATTTGTTGTTGTCTTGAAATATTTTGACGTGATTTTGTTTTGACATATCTTTAGTGTTGCCAACTCTGTATCTGGTTTTCAATCTAAGGTAAGGCGAATTAAAAAAGTATAATATAATGTCTGAAAATGTAAAAATTAAGTACAATAATTAATCAATAATGTTATATATAATTAATGGATGGTTGATATTATTATAATTCTTTATTATTTAGTCTACTTACTAAATAAACTACAAAATTCTTCAATAATAAATAAATATGCTCCCGGATGTGATCCCTTTGGTAATGAGAGGCATAGTGAACGTGACATGACATCCCAAAGTGGCGATAGAAAAAAAACCACCATCGTTTCTCAAATTAATATATTTTCTATATTTGTAATTAAATTTAATGTAAACAATAATAATAATGTAAATAAATTGTCTAATAATATTAAAAGTTTAACTAAAATACAATTTAAAAGAAAACTATTTGACTACCTAATTAATAATTTATGATGCTGCTTGACACTGTAAAAACATTACATGACTTATTATTCATAATTGTAACTTAAAGTAATAAATTTTTGTTAATATTATTATGACTATATTATTTTAATAATTGTAAAAAAAAAAACTTTTACACATCTATTGTAATGGTAAAGATTGCTGATAATTAATTTTAAGATCTGCTACTGGCAATCACCAATATTTAGTAAATAAAAATTTATTCATTCATTCTATACTCAGTAAATTGTTAAGTTCTCAAATAAAAAACCAAGATCTACATAAAAAAATACTATTTTAAAATCTTTTGTAAAAACACATAGTCCTTTTGTTTCATCAGGTTTTAACTTTATAAATTATTAACACCTTAATAAAAAAACGTCTATGGCATTTATGCCCGAAAAGACAGAAAGATTTATGTTGGCAACATTAACTTACTTGGTGCTTGCTTTGCACAAACGAAAAACAATTAAGGTCTTCCAACTATATTCGATTAATTAAATATTAGGTTAATAGTACTTATTACATAGATTGCAGTATAATTAAATATTTTTCAGGAAAAGACTGTATACAAAATCCAGCTGCTTTTTCATTTCTGCACCACTCTCGTGTTGTGGTTAAAAAGGTCTGGTGTGGTAGTGATATTACAAGGTACGAAAACATAACCATAAGAAAATTATCCTTATTCTTATGGCATAATATTATAGTCTGCGTAATTATTAGTAACAGGAACTAATGGAGCATTTGCTAACAATAATATACCACATCAGAGTAATGTACGGACAAACATTTATCCCCTATAAAAAGCATCGTAACAAATTCACCAAGAATAAACCTGATAAAATTAGTTCAGATGACCTATTGGTCTAACTTAATCTTCCCACATTTCTATCATCTCCCGCCATCATTTACCGTTAACGCAAGCTGGGTATTTTTTTAATGAACAAATCGTAACCCCACCTTCGCTAATGGTATACTCTGGCGGGACACCAGTGAGGAATCATAGGTGCGAATGAAAAGGCAGATTAATTATTACACTGAATTTCGAATGATGGTTTCCAGGTGAGACCACGTGGAGGTCGACCTAACAGGGTATATTGCTAGCAATGAAACTAGTAATCCGCATTACTAACAATCCTCTTCTCTCGCAGACGGGATTACCATTGGTAGGAATGGCAACGCATGAGTGATAGATACCTTATGGATACAAGAGAAGATTACTACTTTCAATCAAGTGGGTGGTCAACTTATTCACCAGTCAGTGTCAGTCAAAAAAAAATTATTACCGACATATTTTTTATAGTAAAATCAAAATTATGCATTTTATTCATATGCGTATATACAATATTCGAAAGCTCACGCCCAGAGTGATTCTATCTATTCTTATAGATTTACATTACGATAGTACCGAATTGTCAATACTATGCCTGTACTTAATCAAATTTTGTAAAAGAATTAAATATATTCTAATTTTTTTTTTTGTATTATTAAACAGAAACTTTCCATGACCCGCACTTTATCTGTGGGGGGACCATTAGTGTTAATACCTATTTATTAAAGCACCATTTATTTAGTATCTGGAAAATAAGTCACTATAATTAGTGTCGTATCGTTTCTATTACCACATCTCTATATAATTTTTGTATATTACATTATTTCTATTACCTAATAAGAACCTATAAAATTATGTTCTCTAAATTAGTTACTTGTAGATATACCTTGTAATAAATAGGTAACCACCTAAGAGGTTAATTCGGTCTGACTTAACTCTAAAAAAACTGTAAACAATCTCACCATAAGAAATGTTTAAAAAATTATATGTTATTTATTACCTACATTAAGAATGATGCTCGATATTTTTTCCTTTCCTTTGAGCTAAATTCCTAATTCAAAAGAAAACGATAAAACATCTAATTAAAATTCGTCACAAAAAATAATACAGTACGTTTTGTGGCACTCCATCTTTCTGAGTATGTATATTCGTATTAAATTTTCTCATGAATACTTGAAATGTTAGTGGTAGATTTATGTACACGTGTCGAGCGGATACAGAATTTGAAGCTAACACGTGCCGGCGCGTGCCTTCAAAACATTGCTTTATGATGCCTATGGAGTGGAATAAATATTTGTAATGTGTAAAGCCATGTTTGTAAGCACTAAAACCCTTATTTATTGACAGTGAATAGGTTAATTTAAACGACTTATCTGAGAATGAATTGGTCACAAGTTTTTACACAACGAACACAAACAATATATATAGTATTAGTACATAAGACTACAAGACAAAAGACAAACAGACGATACAAGGAACCAAGATTCGATCAAATAATCTAATACCTCACCCTAAATAATCTAGTATACTCTTAGATATGTTTTTGTCTATAGCCGAAAGCTCCGCTCCTTATTCTGGGGTAGTTATCAGACGATTCTGGGGTAAGCATTGTCAACCCAGCGGGGAAAAGAATTGTTAGTGATGGGGTCTAACAACCACATTGCTAACAACGTAATAGGGTATCTTTTACGTCGACTAAAAGCGTTCCCCCTGGAAACCATCGTGGTTAATTTTTATTGAATTTAACACGATGGGCTTAATGATCTCTTTTATCCTCACTTGTCATCTCTCATTGATGCCCCACCAGTGTATATCAATAGCACAGGCGAGATTACTATTTCACTATCACGATAAAAAAAAACAAGGTTACCCAAGGACCTTTCAATACGTCCATGCTAGCGATAAATACCATAAAACAAATATAAAATTAATACTCAATGTACAATATATACCTACCTTTATTTTTAATATATACATTTTTTATGGGTAATAATATAAGAGCGAACCCTTAACGATATATGCTGGCGGAGCTCCAGTAAAAGATGATAGGTGATGTGGCCCATACTGAGGAATTCATCAAAGATTAACCACGATGGTTTTCAAGAGAAATCGCATGGAGGTCGAACTGATTGGGTAAATCACCAGCAATGAGACAATTTGATCCCATTACCACAAACCCATATATATATATATATATATATATATATATATATATATATATATATATATATATATATATATATATATATATATATAAGAAGATGCAGGAATTCTACGTATGACGAAGGTCAAGTCTATCGTAAAAAACCGTGTTCTTATCCTATAAAATTGAGTCTTGAAGGAGGGTCCGTTCCAAGTTAATTCAAACAACGAAATGTTAACCTAACCCTCCTAAAACGAAACGTCAAATCAGTGCACTTGAAATTCAGAGAGCACACACTGTACACACATGAGGTACGAACCATGGAACCCTGGGGAGGTGTGAGGGCGCGACGTGATTACCCGCGTCCGAGCGGGACGACCCGACTTGCGCCCCTATTGTACAGTGCTCCCCTGGCCCTTACGAGACAAGATGACGTGTCATCAGTGGTAAGAAGAAACCAGTGATAGCAACATTAGAAATCCTTACGATCTCTTCAAATTTTTCAAAAATATTTCCATGACCCTATAGCAAATTTAAATTTATTCAACCCAAAACTAGCGACGACTACATATTTACTAAGAACAAGGCATATTTATTGATATTAATTTTTAAGTAAGGTTAGGTCTTAGATTATATAGATAGTGTCTCCATACAAATGCTTTGAGAAAAGCGGGTTAACTTTCTCATACAATTTTGCGTGATAAATAGTTACGAGTGATTCCTTTAGAACTTCTATTTTTGTTTTGTATTATAAATTCTGCACCTTTTTAATGCTCAAAAACTCATTTATTAAATTATTACACATATAGACATTGTGTACGTAAATATACAAAACATTAATAATAAAACGAGTCAGCTCATTGAAAAATTAGCTGACAAAAAGTTGACTCGTTTTAAGGCTCGATGTTCTACCTATATGATCTAAGGTTTAGGTACAGATTTTCTTGTAACGGGATCGTAAGTTCTTCGTATATAAAATCCTTAATATCATTTATAGGAAATAATAGGAGATAAACAGTAACCAAGGCAACATATAAACAATTTGTCATATAAACGTGATTTTGTTGTAATAAATATTAGTTTTAAGTAGGCGCCTACTACCGAAATAAATTGAAAATGGCATTAAAACCGACTACCTGCAAGGAAGCTATAGCAAGATGGGAAAAAGAAAAAGGAGAGAACGCCGCTGATGCCAAAGTGATAGAGTTACAGTTCCAATGGCCACCGATAGAAAAAATGGATGGAGCTTTATCAACACTTGTTGCTTGCGAGTAAGTTTTCGAATGTTTTTATTTATTTAGAGATTTTTGTAAGTAAAATAATAATGTCAATTCGATGAAGTGGTAATAGAACTTATTTATAAAAGAGTAATTAATATAATTGTGATGCATAAATGCATACGTATATAGTATACTATAATACATATATACGTAATATCTAATAGCCTTTAACTGTCCACTGCTGAAAGCCTCCCCCTGGGGGATCCTGCCAATAGTTGCTGTTAGAGTTGCAGCTAAATACCTACCTTGTTAGGAGTGGATATACATGGAAAGATGACCCGCATGAAAGTAGTAGTAGCACTTGTCTTGAGCACTATAAATTTAGTTCTTTGTCCAAGTAATTGACAGTTTATTTA